TGCCAATTTGACAATTGTTTGAGTTTTTTATATTGATTCATTTGTTTTCTGAATCCTGAGTCGTCGCTCCAATCTAGATTTTTGTAAAAGTTGAATTTAAGAAATTCTTTTTGATTTAATGATTGTACTGAGTCTCTTGTGAAGTTTTCATCAAATACGTCTCTAAATCCTTTTTGTTGTGTTGCGTCTGTAACATTTGGGTTTACCCTTGTTCCTTCTGCTGTTGCTGAAGCATGCCAATTTCCTGCTGCTTGTAAGTAGTTTATTCCTTTTATTGGATAGTTTGTTGTGTCTTTTAAGTTATTTGCATTGTCTAAGTTGGATCTAAAATAACAATTTATAGTTGCTATTTCTGTGTCGAATACTTCTAATGCATCTTTTCTTAATTTTGTTTTTACTATCGCGAATACTGTTTGCATTATTTCTGTACTCCATCTGCATTCACTTGCATTGTTTCCTGTTGAATCATAATTTCTTTCTCTTAATGCATATCCCTTTTTAGGTATTCCGGAGTATCTTCCAAATATAATTAAGTCTCCTAATTTTATTGCTTTGAATGCATTTTCTAATTGATTTTTCCAATCTCTGTATTTTTCAATTGATCCATCAAATTCTGATATTAAGGATGTTAGCCTTTCTAAGTTTTTTGGTGGTTCGAATTCTGCTATTGCTGCCATTATTCAGGTAATATAGTTGATAGTTGTCCTTGATAAGTACACTGAGTATGTTTTAGCCAATTTCTAACGTTAAATGATTTTCTTGAAATAGTTTCTAAGCTTGTTTTGACTCTTGACCTATCTGCTATTACTAACGAGTATACTAAATATGTTGTTATTTCTTCATCAGTTAAGTTTTCTGGGTCTATTTCTTCTTCTTCAATGTAATTAGAAATTTGTTTTCTATATTCTTTTTTCTTGTAATTATAGACTCGATTTTCTTCTTGTATAGGAATTCTTTTAGTTATCAAATTTCCTTCTATGAACTCTTCGATTTTTTGATCAAATTCTTTAAGTTTTTCTTGTAGTTTTATCTTATGTTCGTCCGATGGTGGGTTTGGATATTTGTTGAAATATTGTTGGAAAACTCTTATATATATTTCGTTTCCTATTTCTCTGTAACTCATTAATTATTTTTAGATAAGTATGGTGCTTTATCTAATATTTTTTCTATGAACTCTTTTGGCTCGTTATATTGTTTTGCTCTGGTTGTTAAGTATGGTAACTTATTTATAGGTAAGGTTCCTTGATTAAATTTCTTTTTGAGTTCTAGGTATACGTATAGTTCTGCTGCTTGGGGTACTGTTAGTTTTAGGCTCTTCTTAAGTATTGGTGATACTTCTGTTTTTATTTTAATCTGTTTTGGAACTTCTTTAACTACTTTTGGTTTTTCTTCTAATATTTTAATTACTATTCCTTTATAGTTTGTTGTTTTCACTATAAGTTTTTTAAGTTTTTCAACTTTATCTGGGCAATTCATTCAGTTTCTTTTGGTGATTTACTAGTGCAGTTACTTCTTTTGCTCTTATAATAGTGTTTGCTATTATAGATATAGTTGTTACTATTGCTATTGATACTATAGTAAGTTGTATAGTTTGATTGAGATATATGAATGGTTTCTCTGATGCTGCTAATACTATGATGATGTTGTGCATCCAAGTTATTGATACGTTTAGTGTTGATACTGTATGATCACTGGTTATGATCGTTAGAGTATTTTCTTGTTGATTATCCACTTTGGTCTTGTAGTGCGTGAACGTTATTTACTATTCTTTGATTTTCAAAATCTTGTCTAAGAACTTTTAGTTCGTTTTGATGACTTTTGTTTCTGCAAATTAGTATGGCTGCAGTTATTGCTACTACTATTATAAATGTTACTCCTCCTATAAATGTATCGATTACATTTGTGTCTTGTAGGTATCCTGGTGTTTGTGTTTGAATTATAGATGGTGTTGATGTTGGTATAAATGTTGCAGTTATGGTATTGATTATTGTACTAAGGACAATTGATGGTGTTATTGATATTTGTATTATTGACATAAATTACTATTGCTAATAGTTTGTTCCAAAAGTTTGATTGATATATGGTATATTTGGTATAATTTTTTGTATTGCTTCCTCTTGGGTATACGGAGGTAAGTTTTGATTCTTTGTTTGCTTTCTTTTCTTAAGTTGTTTAAGTTTTGCAATTATAAGTATTAGTGCTACTGTTCCTAATATTACCAATATTGTAGTTATTCCACCAAATACTTCTAAGAGTGTATTATTATTATTGTCACTATCTGTCATTTATTTCTTTTTGAGAAGTTGTAATCCTTTAGGTTTCTTTGGTATTATAGGTAGTCTTCTTGGAGCTGCGTTAGGTGGTATAGGTCTAGGTATTATCCCAAATTGTTGGTTTAACTGTTGTTGTAGTTGATTATCAATTGGTATTTGTTGTAAAGGTCTTGGTATATTTGGCCTTTGATGTTGTACGT